ATAGAATTTATATTTTATGTGTTTAAATGTAAAATTTTACTTAGTCAATCAGCTTCCCAATGTAGATATGATATCAACAGGTAATTTTATTTTATTTTTTTATTTTTTTAAATTTTTTTGGTTTTTCTCCGGTACCGGGAACCGAACTCACGACCTTGCGCTTGCCAGGCAGGCGCTTTTGCCGCTGAGCTAAATCCCCAGCCCCTTCAACTGGAATTTAAATCATTCAAATGAAAAGTGTCTTCAGGTAATTTTATTTTTTTAGATATGCATTTGTTTTAGGTGTATATTCAGATGATATATTTCTTAAATCTTTTTAGCTATTTCCCCCAGTATTGGCAATTGACCCAGGACCTTTGCTATGAAACTGTGTCCCCAATCCTTTTTAGAGACAAGTCTCACTAAGTAGTCAAACAGGCAGGACTGGAACTTACACTCCTCCTGCCTCAGCCTCCCAGAGTGCTGAGATTACAGGCACATACCCTCACTCCCATAATTTTATCTACTCTTAAAAAAGAAAAACAGCCAAGCATGGTAGCACATGCCTATAACCCCAGCCTTCAGGAGGCTGTGGCTGGAAGAGAGCCATGAACTCCAGGCCAGTCTGGAATACATAGTGAAACACTGTCTCCAAAAAAAAAAAGAATGATTTTACATTTGTTTAAAAGTGACGCTTTAAATGATAGTAAAATACCAATCAACATTTGTTAAGCTACAAGCCCAAAAAACCTGGACACAAGTGAAAGATTTTAAGAAAAGACAATATAGAAACTAGGCATGGTAACATAAGCCTGTAATCCCAGCACTCAGGGAAGCTGAGGCAAGAGGATCAAAAGGCCAGCCTGAGCAATTTAGAAATACCATGTTTAGTTGGGCATGTAACACATGCCTGTGATCTCAGCACTCAGAAGGCTGAGGTAGGAGGATCTCTGAGTTCCAGGCCAGCCTGAGCTGTATAGCAAGACCTTGTCTCAAAAAAAAAAGGTTCTGTGGTTTAGAACAGGGCTCAGGGCCAGATGTGGCGCAGGCCTATCATCCCAGCACTCAGGAGGCTGAGGCAGGAGGATCACTGAGATTTCCAGGCCAGTCTGGGCTACATAGTAATTTCAAGGCCAGCCTGTACTCCATAGTGATCCTGTCTCAAAAAGCAAAAAAAAAATAAAAAGGGGCTCAGTACAGACGCCCCAGGTATAGTCCCCACTACCAAAAAATAGAGACAGTAGCGATTAGGAACCAAATTGAGCTCAGATTTTACTCCAGT